GTAATCAAATTCGAATATTTATTAACAAAATATTTGATTTATTATTTATTCTAAATTATTCCGTGAATTATCTAAAAACTTGATTGGTATGAATGAATGTGGTGAATTTATGAATCCACTTATCTTATTCCTATTTTCAATTATCAACCTTTGAAATTAGTGATATTTACGTGTTCTTTATCATCGATAATTCAATTATATCTAACTATCTCTTCCGAAATAAGTTAAACTTAATTTAAGCATGATCATATCTTATTCCTAATTCGAATTCATATGTAAAATAGTGCATTCATACAGACGATTATCAATAAGATTGTACACAACATACATGTTATTTCTAATATTTATTTCCCGTGTGTTGAAATTAGAAAGTTCTAACCTATTATGAAACCTCCAACGCTATAATAAGTAATTAATTATTTAATTGGTGGCCAATAAATTAAATAATGCAAAAAAGGATGCAATTACAATCAAGAAAGTAAAAAATATACCAACTACTAGTATTTGAATTTAAAATATGAAAACCTAGGTTTCATCTTAGCAATGCAAACAATGGTTTAAGCCTAACACAATTTCTATAATATTACCAGAAGAATTCCGAAATATGAATGAATACAAGAAATCTTGATCTTAAACTCCAAGCTTTAAATCTTCAAAGTTATTGATGTAATTAGCCTTCAATTCTTGATATGTTTGATCTTCTCTCTCGAAAGATGTGTATTTGCCTATTTTTCTTGATGAATTTTTATGATATGATATAGTATGAGAGGCTAAAGAGAAATACTTTGATGTTCATTCATTGTCTTGTACTCATAGTTGACCAAATTGGTTAAAAAAAAGTATCCAATTTTCGAATCTAAAAGAGTTTGTATCACAAAAGAAAAGTTGGCCCGTCTATCAAAATTGTGTCCATGTCCACGCATGGTACATTAGCTTGCCCATGCATGGGCAAGTGAAATCGACCTCGGATGCCCAAAAAAGGGACCCTTGCTTGTGCGGGGGTATTATTATTATTATTATTATTATTATTATTATTATTTTACTTTCTTTATATTCTATTCTTGTTCAATTGACTCCATATATATATTTTTTTATCATGATTTTGTGATCAAAATCAACTATTGGATATTTGTACTTTGGTTCCCAAACTTTGAAAATCACTCATTTTAAATAATTTTTTCGTTAATTTCTTCTAATTTCACGCTCAATCACCGAGTTTTACATAATACACAAAATAATTAAAAAACTAAGTTATAATTCATCAAAAGTAACCCTAAATATCCATATTTAACGGTCTTAAAAAGTGTATAAATTACACTTATTTGTGATCCCAAATCTCTCAAAACTTTGTAAATTTTACTATTAACTTTTTATTTGTTTCACTCGTGGTCCCAAATCATTCAAGTACCTGCAATTAGGCGACAAATGGATGGAAACCATCCACTTTGTCATCAATCGACCAATAAAAATAAAATCTGACCATTTTTTACAAACTACATAGTGGGTAAAATCGTCGGTTCAATTATAACACATTTAAATTCAAATATGTCGTTACTTCACTACGTATTCCGCTCAAGAGCAGAAGAACACTAGATCATCTTTTCCCCCAATGAATTATGATAAAACCCACGAATATGAAGAAGGAGATACAGAATGAGCATCCATCTGAAAGGATCCATCCGTGAACCCGTATGCGGTAAGTTTCTTCATGGTTTATTAAGCCCCTGTTTGGGGGTTGAAAATTTTTAGAATAGTGATTGATGGGAGAATGTGGGGTTGAAATTTTTTTGATTTGTGTGTAATATTATTTTATTTGATAAATGTGTGGTTGAAATGAAGAGAGAAAAATTTAATGTAATGTAATGTAATTTAATGGGGGCCAAACAAGGGCTAAGTTTTTCAAGAAATCGTGTAAAAATTTCAATCTTTGTGAGAAATCCGTAATTGATGAAATTATTCATTTAATTTTTTTATAATCTCCATGATTTTATCTTTTAAAATATTTTCCTTATCATTTCTTCAGAAAAAATTCCAAAGACGAACGGTTAGGATTAACACGCTAATTCTCTCTCTGATCAACCATCAGATGCAGCGGAATCTTTGACCTTGAATTTTGACCAAAAGCATTTGACATTTTTGACTTGGAAAATTTTTCCATTCAATTATTTTGCTCATGTTTGAGCTCCATTATTTGAAAAAAAAAATTAATTTTGAAATAGTATTTTTTGAAAAATGTGCGATTAAAAAATATAGATTTTTTAAAAATTTATTTGTAATATTATTTTAATGAGAGAATGTGTGATTGATAAGAAGAAATGAATTAAAATTTAATGGGAACCAAACATGGCTAAGAAAAACCAGCACGTGCACACGACCGCAATGTTCGAGCCTCTTTCATTAAACGACAAAACCTAAATTGGTCCCATATTATAA